GGATCTTTGGCTGGTTGGATGTTTGGATCTTTGAATCGTTGGATGGTGTCGGTGTGCTGTTGGCTGGACGAACGACGATGCTGGTCGGCTGGTCGTCTGTTAGTCTGTTTGTCTGCATGTGTGTGCTAGTTATATAAAGATAAAGTAAGAAATAAAACATCGCAAACTATAACAAACAACAGGATGCAGTCAGCCAGCGGCGAGGCAGCCAACTGGTCGGTCTCTCTGCCACATGCTCATGGATGTGGATGTGGCTGTAGCAGTGGCTGTGGATTGGCTTGAAGTCTTTACTTTACTTTACTTAACTTTATTTTTTTGGAGCATTGGGAAAGCACTTGCTGATGGGGCTGCCTAGGCCGTTTGGGGTTGCTGCTGCTGTTGTTGGCATACGTAGAAAAATTGTTTTCGATACAGTTTTCGACATTCATTCATTCAACAGACCAACGACCGAGGCTGCTGCTGCTGATGCTGCTGCTGCTGATGACGATGGCAATTGCCAGGCAACTTTTGCTGCCTGGCTGCCTGGCTGCTTGGCTTGCTGCTAGTTTGTTGGTTTCGTTTGGAAAATTGAAACAATTTCCGATGTCACTCTCACTTTTTATTTTACTTGACGACGACGACCGTCGCTGTCCAGAGCCACAGAGCCAGGCCAGAGCCAGAGCCAGGCCAGTGCCAGGCCAGTCCCGTCCCGTCCAGAGACACAGCAGAGCCAGCCAATCTAGACAACCAGATATGTAACGACGATGGACGACAACCACCACAACGCTCCAAGACGTGATTTGGAGATGTGTTTGCTCTCTGTTGCAACTGTCGCTGCTGCTGCTACACTTGTTGTGTCCAGTGAAGGAAAAAGTGGTACAGATTGCACTCCAACTGCAGCAACAGCAGCAGCAGCAGCAACAGCAGCCCCTCATCATCATCATTATCGTCGTCATCATCTGCCGACTCCTCAAACGCATCCAGCAGCAACATCTGTGCTGTGGCTGCTGCAGCAGTTGCAATTGCACCGTTGAAATGTTGCACACAGTTTTTCAGCAACAACTTGGCCATCTTTTACTGCTACTCCTTCTCGCCATTATTTACGCCTGGCTCTAGGGGCAAATACTTAACGGAGGATACTCGTATCTTCAAGGGAGAACTCTTCCGCAGACTCTTCTTGATCATCCATCGAGATAGTAGCGCCAAGATTGGGACTGACCCTTTACCATTTAAACTTTTGATTTATCTCACTGGGATTAAGCCAAAGCGAGATTTCATCTAAAAGCAAGCGAACCCTTTACCTTACGGGATACCTAACCGGATACCTTACGCGGATCCTTACTAAAGATCAGTTAAAGATCATGGCAGCAGCAGAAATTCCATAGATTGGTTTATCATGTATTAAATGGATAATCAATATCTCTGACCCTCCTTATTATCCAATGGAACTCGCAATATCATTTCATTATATTGATTGGCGCGCAGATTGAAACCAAGTCCTTCCTTCCAACATTCCTTAAGTTTTCCTATATTTTTGCAGCAGCTTCTTTCCTCACCCACAATTCCATCAGGGAAATTCCCTATTGCTGAGATCAAGTGAATGATCTTGAGAATGGATCTTTGCTATCTACTTGGCACATAATTTCGCATTAAGTTTTATGGCCCGCCACAGACTTGAGCTTGAGATTGAGGCACAGGCTGTGCGTGCTTATCTGTCTATCTCTTTCACTCTCACTCACTTATTTTCACTCTCCTTTGCTTTCCTCTCCCCTCCACTCCTCTTTCTCTCTGTTTGTTTGCTTTGCTGTGTTGGAAGTTTGTTGTGACGATTTTGGTATCAGGTTGCTGCTGCTGCTGCTGCGACTATTGCCTCGTTAGAGAGTCTTTTCTTCATCTGTGTTTGTGTGAGTGCCTCTGCCTGTGTGTGCTTATGCGTGTGTATGTGTGTGATCCTGGCAGCAAACTTTGTCGCCGCGTTGCAAGTTGCTTTTGCTGTTTGCTGTTTGCTGTTGCTGTTGCTTTCTGCTTTCTGCCACTGATGTAACGAGGTTTAATTTTCCATTTCAGTGAGCGGCTTGCTTTGGAGATTTTTACTCTCGTTTTTCATTGTGTGTCGCGCCGGCTTTGCTTTGCTTTGGTTTTCCTTTTAGCCTTAGTCTTAGTTTTAGCTATATATTTAGTTGTGGTTTAGTCGCGCTTGATTATGCTGCCGCCTCTGCCTGTTGCTGCTGCCTGCTGCCGCCTCCCTACTGCTGCTGCTGCGACGACACTCAAGCGCGACCGAAGCAGATGATTATCGTTGCTTATGATGATAATTATGCAGCTGCATTTAATAATCATGATGCTGAATGCTGAATGCTGCATGCTGATGCCTGCTCAATAATGATGGGTTGTGTTGCTGCTTGCCGCCTGGGATTAGTTGGGGTCGAGACGACTTTTGGTGGCATCATTTAAAACATGACAAACTTAATTCGCAACTGCAGTCGCGATCCTCTATAACTATGCTTCAGTTCCAGTTCCAGTTGCAGTGTTGAGCCTCTTGCAGCGAACTCTCTGCAACATTGTCAACATCTCTCCAGCACTGGAACTGGACATTTTCCAATCTGGAGCGAACCGTCGACGCTGTGTTATGTGTCGCTTTTCCGTCTGTCTGTCTGCCTGACTGCGTTTTCGCGGTTTTACAACTTTGATTTCACTTTTCTTTGGCAACATGCGACGACGACGACGACGGCGACGACTCTCTGGCTCTGGCCATGTTACTGAATGTTGTATCTGTATCTGTATCTGTACCTTCACCGTCCGTTTCTTGAACTGTTTGCTTCATTGCTCCCGTTGTCCGTCCGTCTGTCGCTTCGCTTAAACTTTGTTACTCTTTAATTGGTTTTTTTTTTCTTGTTTTTGCTTGGTTCGGCTTGGGTCTTCTTTCTTTTCGCAGGCTTCCCAAACGGATGGGAGCCTCTGATGATGATGATGACGATTGCTGCTGGCTGGTGGCTGCTTGCTGCTGGCTGCTTGCTGCTGGCTGCTGGCTGGTGACGATCGTGCTGCTGATGATGATGCAGTGGCGTCCAGCTTAAGAGCCTGGCTATAATTGTCAACCGCTTTGGCACGTTTGCAACAAATTATAAAACACATTGGGGGCCATTGCAGGCATGGAGCTCGAATCGGGCGGTTTGCGGGGTGCTTGTGCAATTTTTACTCTTTATTTTTGACAAGCAAAAGTGATATGATTGAGGTGCAGGTTGAACGGTTGAACGGTTGAACGGTTGATGGTTGGATTCACTCTTACTCTCGTTTCGAGGATGATTTATTTAATGATCTCATTAGGAGCAGCAATTTTCCATTTGCCAGCAGCTAAGTAAATAATTAAATATTTTGCATTGGATTTTATGCAAATAAACATTCCAGAAAATCATTTGAGGGGTGAAAGTGAATCATTTCAAGATTATTTTTAAAGTATTTTGCAAAAATCAAAATTCCCACCAACTGACTCTGCATTAAAGTGGCAAAAGCTTATAATAATTCTCCCCACTACTCACTCCAGTAAGCGTTTTTCCGAAAAGAGTTATCAGAGATCTGCCTCACTGGCAGATCACTTGATTGTTCTGTAAGTGCAGGCGATCTCTCCACAAACGTTCTCAAGCTCCAATTACAAGTGCTGCAACAATAATTTCGACTCCATAATAACAAGAGACCACAAATCAAAGGCAGCAAATGCGGCTAATTAACTTTTTGGCAACAATTCAACAGCAGTGCAACAGCAGCAACAACAACAACAGCAACAAAAGGCAATTTGTTGCAGCCAGACGATCGCTAAATGCTGCAACAACCACGACGACAGCACCACAGCACCACAGCCCACGAAAATGTCTCATGAAAAATTCTGTTCTAGATAGCAGAACAGAGCCCCATAGATCAACGCGCGCCCACCTGAATGCCGTTTCGCTTTGAGTTGGCTTGCTGTCGCCTGTTGGCTGCCAGAGTTGGCAAATATTCGAGATGTTGTGTGTCTTGGTCTGTGTGTGTGTCTCTTACTTGGTTCACATGGCTGGCTGCCTGGCTGGCTGGTTGCTGGCTGGCTGATGATGGGTTCGTTCTGCTGGGGAATGGGGAATGGGGGATAGCCGGGCCTGGCCTGGCCTGGCGTGCCATCTGCCAGCATCGCAGCCTACGCAGCAAATCGCTCTTGCAGTTGCACGCACCTCTAAGCGCTGGCCTATGCCGGAGGCGACCTCCACACGAGCTGCTACTGTGGCCCCCCCCAATCCCTTGCTTTACCCTGCCCACCCACTATTTTCTGCCGACTACTCAGTCTGTGTGTGTGTGTGTGTGTGTGTTTAGATGTTTGTCTGCCGCTATGTGTTTGTCTTACATAATCGTCACTCTAGATACCGTTTTTCGTTTTTCGTATTCGTATTTCTCTTGTTCTTTTTCTTGTACATTTTTCAAGTATTTTTCCACCCTAAGACGACAGACAATAGAACAATTGTTTAAACATTTGTCCGTGTGGTGTCTCAGTCGCTCTCAGATGCCTTTGGCATTGCGCCAAAAGAACCCAAAAAAGAACCGAAAAAAAAACACACACACAAAAAGAATAAACCATAAGATGCGAGGGGGGAAAATGATGTGCTTCGGGTTGGTGGGTGGGGAAAAACAGTTGCTGCTAACTATACTTAGAAGGCACTTCATTTTCGTAGACAGGTAAAGCTATGACGTACATGGGTATTCCCATTGCCCCAGACAGCCTATAACTTCCCTTTCGATCGGCCACCGAACACTGGCAACAGCTGCGGAAACGGGAAGTCTCCGTCTGACGCACCCGAGAACTTGTTTCGAGCCCGTAGAAATGTAGAACTTGGAATGTGGAATGCAGCAATTTAAATAATATAAATATAAAATGTGGAAAATTTTGTATTTAATTGTTAACATGTTTCCCCATTTTTCCCATTTTGTTGCAGGTATATAATTCCTGTCTACAACTATTTGAAATCACGAAGGCAGCAGCAGATATAAGGCAGTCTGTCAATCAATCAATCAATTGATCAAACATTTTTGAAGCCACAGCCCGAGCATAGGGAGCGTGCCACAGAAAAGTTACAGTTGCAGTTAGCTAGCAACAGTTATGAGAGAGAAAGACCACTCACCAAGAAAGATGCTTCCTAGCCCGAAACAGGGCTGCGTTTACCCTGCCTTAGGATTAGTACCCACATCGTATATATCACACGTACCTTACGACCTGGCAGCCGCCGCCGCCGCCTCCTCCTCCGCCGCAGCGGCCACTGGCACGACGACAACCACCACGACGGCCGCCCGGCATCAGCATCAGCACCACCAGCACCAGCAGCAGCAGCAGCAGCATCAGCAGCTCCATCATGGCGGCAAGGCCAAGAGGAGGAGCAGCTACGACCAGCCGCTGGATCTGCGGCTGGCCCACAAGCGTAAGACGGATCTGGGGGAGCCCGGAAGTCCCATGGAGGACGAGAACAGCAACCTAATCATGTTCGCCAGCGAGCTGGCCGCCGCCCAGCAGAAGGAGAAGGAGCTGAACAACAACCACATAGCCGCCTCGCTGGCGGATCTGGGCTTCGACATGAGCCGCAAGATGCTGCGTGCCCTGCGGGAGGGAGCGGGCAGCGGGCCGGGCGGACCCACCACCACCCATCCGCTCGGTGCACCGCCGCAGTGCACGGTGCCCACAGTGCATCCCACGCTGCTCGAGGCCATGACCAAGACGCTGCCGCTGCAGTACCGGAATGTCTTTGCGGGAGTGCTGCCGGGAAAGGCCACCACAGCGGCTGCATCGACGAGCCCCACGGGCGGCGAGTTCCCCTTCCGGCATCCGCTGAAGAAATGTGAGCTGACATGGCCCCCGCCCACGGAGCAATTGCAGCTGGAACTGCCAGGCGGGGGAGGAGGAGGCCCTGTGGGCCCTGCCAGCGGCGGAAAGACGGCTTCACATCCCCAGCTGCAGGACTACCAGACCCGCCAGCACTCGCGAAAGACCAAGGCCCGAGCTCCGGCGTCCACAGGTGCCGCTGGGCCTGGAGCCGCCGCGCTGCCGCAACGCAACAAGGATCGGTACACGTGCAAGTTCTGCGGCAAGGTGTTCCCCCGCTCCGCGAACCTCACGCGCCACCTGCGCACCCACACGGGCGAGCAGCCGTACAAGTGCAAATACTGCGAACGTTCCTTCAGCATCTCGTCGAACCTGCAGCGCCACGTGCGCAACATCCACAACAAGGAGCGGCCCTTCAAGTGCGAGATCTGCGAGCGCTGCTTCGGCCAGCAGACGAATCTGGACAGGCACCTCAAGAAGCATGAGTCGGATGCGGTGTCGCTGAGCGCCTTGAGCGGGGTGAGCGAACGGATGCACTGCATTCGACGCTTCTGCGAGAATCCCAGCGAGGAGTCCTACTTTGAGGAGATCCGCACCTTCATGGGCAAGGTCACCCAGCAGCAGCAGCAGCAACAGCAGCAACAGCAGCAGCAGCATCACCAGCAGCAGCAAAACCATCATCAGTCAGTGACCACGCCCCGCAGCTCGGCCAGCAGCTCGTGCTCCTCCTCGCACACGCCCACATCCTCGCGGCACACGCCCACGCAGTCGGACACATCGGAGGCGCTGGCCCAAGAGCTGCGCCGCCTGCAGGCGGAACGCATCAAAGTTAGTGAAGACAGCAACGATGCAACCTCCGCAGCTGGAGAGAGCACAGCAGCGAGAACTTCCCCAGCCGCCGAGGAGGAAGATTCCAAGCCCATTCTCGAGACTCTGACGTCCAAGCTATTTCCCACTACCATACCGAATGCTGTTGCTGCTGCTGCTGTCACCATCAAAGAGGAGCAGCAGCATACCTAATGGACAGCCAACAAGAATTTTCAACACATTTTCCTACTATATAATCGCAGAAGAGAGCAGTTGCTCTCCACAACAACTACACACACACACACACACACACAAACGCAACGGAATGGAATGGAATGGAACGCAACGAAAGAAGATCCCTAAACTATATCTACTATAGAGCACGTTCGTCTTTAAAGTCTAGCTGTAAATATCTTAATCCTAATATCTTAAATGTTCTTTATGTGTAAATGTAATTGTACAAAACAAGAATTGGCAAATCCATATATGTATCTATATCTATCTATACCTACATATATATACATACATGCATATATATAGTATATGTGTAATCTACGATTAGATATGGCTTAAGCATTGGTATTTTTTGTGTGTGTATATATACAAAATGACACGATAGAAATGTATGAAAAACAGGAAAAGAAAAGAAACAAACGCAATCACTGTTTGAAATAAAAAGTTACAAGTTTTTAAAATTTACTAAATATCAGATTTTTGATAAATGGATTTTCGGGCTTGCTTAACAGTTTAAAATTAATTTAATTTAATTAAATTCAAGTTGGACACACTGGCGCCAGCTGCTGGAATAGTTCAGTTTTATGTATGGCGCTACTAGCGGCCAGTATACGTAACAGTTCCTACCGTCCACTAGCTGGCGCATTGGTCTCATGACGTCCAGACTTTGTCAGTACGAAAAACTAAATATGCGACATTTAACTTCCATATTAGGCTGCAGGTATGGCAGCCCGCAGCAACTACGAATTGCACGAGTCTGGCAACGCCACAAAACGACGTCACATTCGTTTTATGTTGTTTTTGTTTGAACCTTAATATGTAAATAATCCAATAAGAAAGACTTCTGAAAACTTCTATCGGATAAAATTATTTTTTTAGGGCAGAGATTCCCAGCTGGCTAGTAATATTAAACGGAATATCAAAATCGAGGAATATCAACGTTGAATGTTTTGAAAAACCAATCGATACTATCGTGGTATTATCGGGCTGTAGCTGCGGCTCATTTTTGCGTGAAAAAGTGAGCTCCATTTGGATTTTTATAATTCCAATACCGTTTACTGGAAATATTGAATTGGGAATTATAAGGTTTTATTTTCTAAGTTATAATTTATTTCTATACTATAATTTCGATGAATTCCCAAACATTAAATGTAAGCAGTTAGTAAGCAGTGAAGCGCGCGGAATATGAACATTATAAAACATTTATAACATAATTAATTGATTAAATAAAATAAAACAAAACCCGCCGTGCCAGATGTGCAGGCAAAATAAATCTTTCAGCTAATCAACACGGTGGAAAGTAACTTAATACTAGAAGATAAAAAGAGAGCCGGCATAGAAAACGGCAAACATTGCAAGAGAGAAAAAAAGATAGCAGCAGCATGGCAACGGAACATCAGCTGACAGAGATAACGGATTTAACTGATTTGAGGGAGTTGCAGCGGCTATATCTGATCGATTGGCCGAGACACTGCGTGGGCTACTTCTGGCTGGACAACTATTTGCGCTGGCTGAAAGATGATCCACAAATCCGGCACTTGACATTCTACACGCTGGACAATGACTGGGCGAGCGATGGACTGTTTCTGCTCGTGGTAGGGAATAGAGTCAGGAGAAACCCTTCCCCCTGCCGCTTGTTAAATCGGGTTCTTTCGACCTCTTTCAGCATCGCTACCAGCTGTTCTTTTGCAACCTGAGCAGGCGCAGACCGCAGCTGGAACGGGCTCTGCGGCTGCTGGACTGGTCTGCCGGCTACAAAGTGAGTGCCATTCACGCGGAGCACCACCTGGTGTACAGGCAGCTGCTCGCAGAGCTTCGGCTGGGAATGGATCGGGAGAAGAACACCATTATGTACCACCTATCCTGCGAGAGGGCCAAGCAGCTGGAAATAGAGTGTCCCGCGGGCTACTACTTGGACAGAGTGCGGCTGGAGCATGCGGAGCTCATCAACGATCTGTGGTCCGCGCGTCATCCGGGCAGCCTGTACCTCATTCAACTGCTGATTTTAAATAATACAAATATGGGATTATATGAAAAGGAAACGGGACTGCTGTGTGCATGGTGCTTGAGGTAGGAATCGCAGTACTCCCTGGAGATCGCGAACAACTAATTTATGCTCTCTAAATCAGACTGCAAAGCGGCTTCCTGGGCGCCCTGGAGGTACGCGAATCCCATCAACGTCGCGGCCTGGGTGTGATTGTAGCCGCTGCCATTGCCCAGGCGATAGCAAGGGACCTGCAGCAGGATGTGACGGCTCTGGTTAATTTAAGCAATGCGGCTGCCTGCCGGCTGTTCGAGCGACTCAAGTTTTCGTTGGTGCAGGGCGAGCACTACTACTGGAGCATGACCCTACCCAAAGCGAGCGGCCAGATAGACTGGTCCTACGATGAATAAATACTGATAGAGATAGCGCATCTTTTTATAACAAAACAAAATGATCTCTGATAAAGCTGATTAAGACAAGACGCAGACCAGACATCCATAAAATTTCACCTGTCTCCAGGGCACCCAAAGGTGAGATAACCTTCTCTATATAAAGTCTCTAAAGTCTCTATATAAAGCCCAAAGGGCTCTACATTTTGCGGATAGTTGTGAAAATGGTCTCCCTGCAGAAAGTGGGCCTCCAGGACCTGGTGCACCTGCAGAAACTCTACGCCTGCGACGTGCCCAAGTACTGTACGGAGCTGCAGTGTCTCGACAATTTCATTGGTCTCCATACGACTCGGTCGCATCTGAAGCATGTGGAAATTTACACGCTGCCAAATCAAGAACTTGGACTGTTTGTGATTGTGGTAAACTGCCGACTGACTTCCAAGTGATTTTTGTTTGTTCATGTGAACTGTGAACTCTTTGGCAGGATCGCTATCAGATCTTCGTCGGTTGCTTGGATGCTGAGCACTCCGACCAACTGCTGGAGCAGGCTCTGCATCAGCTGGACTGGTGGGGCGGCATGCAGTGCTCCAGCATACGCAGCAGATACGGTGCGACTGTGGCCCGAGTCATACAAGCCAAAGGGATTCCACTGCAGTTCGATGTGGAAAATAATTTGTACTTTCTGCCAAGAAAAGCGGCCCTGGCGTTGGACGTGGAGTGAGCAAATACCCAAATGGCTGGCCACACCACAGAATTCAGCTTAGATCTTTTTCAGAGTGCCCGCTGGGTTTTATTTGAAGGCACTTTCCCAGCTGGACGCGCACGTTGTGGACGCCGCCTGGGAGTGGAGTCAGCCGGGCAGTTTGTTCTTTATTGAGCGCCAGATCGCCACGAGCACCTGCGTGGGACTGTACCGCGAGGACAACCAAGAGCTGGTGGCCTGGTGCATAAGGTAAATGAACCCAAAACTATCTACAAACGATCGATAATAGGCTGTCATTATTTTGCAGAGCACAAGACGGATTTCTGGCTGCCCTCCAGGTGAAGGACTCGCACCAGCGTCGCGGCTTTGGTGCTGTGGTGGTGAAAGAGTATTCCCGACGCGTTGCCCTGCTGGGCCATGATGTTACAGCCGAAGTTTGTCCGGGCAACAAGCCTTCCTCGGGCCTGTTTCGGAAAATGGGCTTCAAGGTCATCGATCATTGCCGCTGGCTGGCGACACTACCCGCCCAGGGAGACTTTACCTGGCCAGATGGAGAGTGATCATTTTCGATAAGAATAAGAATGCAATTTAAATATAACAAGATTAAACACAACCTCTGTCGTGGGCTGGCAACTGCTGTGTGGGAACTAGCCAAACGATTGACTTAAGAGAGCGCTGATGGATTAAGAGAGAACGAATTATTTAATGGAGCCCATCCAAGAGGCAACCCCACTATCGAAACGGAACCACTCTATTCTCTATCATTTTCGCTTGGTTATTTGTTGCGAGAGGTTGTGCGCTCCAGCGACATGTGCGCCAAGCTAAAAGTTATGCGATTGTTGCAGCTGCAGGCCTATCAAAAACTCTACAAAAACAGCTGGCCTAAATTCTGCGCGGAATACTACTGTCTCGATAATTTTATAGAATTTCTGAAGGCCGATCCACAAATCAAGCATTTAAAACTCTTTACCCTGGAGGGAGAGCAGGCCAGTGCCGATGCGCTCTTTGTCATTGTGGTATTTAATGGTATAGAATATCATAAAACAATTAAGTTTCTAAGCAGAGTGATCGCTTTAGGATCGCTATCAGCTGTTCGTGGGAAGTTTGAACCACACGAATGGACTGCTGCAGCAGGCGCTGCAATTACTGGACTGGTCTGCTGGCTTCAAGTGCAGCTCCATACCTTGCAGACACATCGAAGCGGTGGATAATGTTGTTCGGTTCAAACAGTTGAATTTGGAGTTCCGGGATTTCACGGATTTGTTCTATATGAAGGCAGCGGATGCCCTGAAGCTGAGGGTGGAGTAAGGTTGACTGAATAAATCTCGTGACATTTGAATCTGTATAATATGCATTGCTGCAGGCCTCCAGCTGGTTTCATTTTGAAATCATTGAGTGTGGCCGATGCTCCGCTCATCAATGAGGCGTGGCCCAACCATCACTTGGGTTCGCTCTACTTTATTCAAAGACAAATTCGAATGTGCGTGAATGCTGGTCTGTATGCAGAGGAGTCTCAGGAGCTGGTGGCCTGGTGCATCAGGTAAGATTGATACCTGAAAAGAATCTCATAGCCACTTCACTTCCACTTACAGGTTACAGGGCGGTTACTTGGGCGCCCTGCAGGTGAAGAGCGGCCACGAGCGACGCGGCTTCGGTAGCCTCGTAACCAGGGAGATTTCCCATCGCCTGGCCGCCCAGGGACACGATGTGATGGCGCTTGTAGGTCCGTCCAACAAGCCATCTGCTGGGATGTTCAGCAAGCTGGGCTTCCGCATCATCGACCAATGCGTCTGGCTGAGAACGCAGCCCACCACGATTGGAGAGTTCACATGGCCCGCGGGCGAGTAGTTACACTTATAGATTTTTAATAAAATATTACACTTATGTATATACATGGATAATAAAATATTACGACTATTTGTATTCTGTATACGCATACGCAACTTTGGTATAAAAAAATACGCCATGCCAAGGGCTTTATATACGACTCTTCTGTGCCGCCAATTGGCTGAGCAAACGCTGACAGCGTTCCGACAATTGAGCAGGACTCTGCTGCACACTGGGGTCATCCAGCATCAGAGTCAGCAGCTCTCGCAGGCACTCGAGATCGTGCTGCACATGGTAATCGCTCATTTTATAGGTATCAAAAAGTAAAAATTTGGTGGTCGTTGAACTACTACGAGTATCGTCTGCGAGCGCAGCCAATCGACGTGCGGATATGAACTCTAGAAGTTCTATAAAATCGAGGTAGTTGATGCCGAAGCTGGCCCGCAGCATGGTCTGGCAGTGGGCCTCAAAGTTATCCATTTGCTGGCAATCGGAGATCTCCTTACGCACGGCCTTCAGGTTGCTGAGCAGATTGCGCCAGACCATCGGCACATTGCAGGCGTTGAACCAGTTGTGGTTGATCGATATGGTGTCGCTGAGGTTCCAAACCTGATGGTACCAGCCGCTGGGCACGAACACGGCCTCATTGGCCGTCTGATTGATCGTGAAGTAGTGCACCTTATGCTCGTCCAGCAGCTGCTCGTTGATGCTGAAGGGCAGATTGCCAAGGCGGTCGCTTAGCTTCAGCTCCTCGCCAGGCGGCATAATCAGCCACTTCTTGTGGCCCACAATGTTGGTGGACCAGCTGAACGATCCAAACACATCCGAATGATAGGAGGTCCTAAAAACGAATGTGAATGGGTTAACCAATCGCCGTATATGTATACTAAAAGTTGCATTTGCAGCTACCACGAATCCTTGGGTCCCATGTAGACGAAGCGATAATCGTCTCGCTTTTCTGCCATCAGCTGCTCGTTCAGCCAGTCGGAGGCAAAGTACTTAGGCACCTGGTAGAAATCATAGCTGGGCATTTGTGCGGCCAGATGCCAGTCCTTGAGGTAGAGATTATCATCTGTCTTCATCCTTGCCACATTGCTGTTCACTTCCGCCTCGCCCTCGATGCGCGCCTGCCAGCGGCTCAGGTAATCGTGAAAGTTCAGCTCCGCTTTGGCATGGCTGTTGAAGTAGGTGGCATTGCAGTCGGCCACCGGCACTGGACAGTCGCCAATGCGTCTCCTGAGGTAGTCAAAATTGATGTGAGCCCCCGCCAGGCCAGTGTTTGCATTGGCATTGTCGTCCCCCTCGTCCACGTTGCTGCTGGTCCACTGCTGGCACTGCCAGTCGGTGGACACATCCGTGATGATGACGGGCCAATTGTGGTGCATGTACTGCCAGTAGAACTCATTGTAGCTCAGTTCGCCTGCCCCGCGGCGCAGGACATTGTCTGGGCGCGCCGGGAACAGCTCCTCTCGGGGGTGGTTGCAGGCCCAGCAGCTCGGCGCCCGACCTCCTCTCAGCGGCCATACGATGTGGCGGTGAAGTTCGATCCTCAAGGACACCCCGCACATGCACTGGCTGTTTTTTGTTTTAATTTAATTAATAATTTTCAACGCAGCGAAATGTAAACACACAAACTATGACGATGGGACTAAAAGGAAACTATCTCCGCAATTTCGGCACTGTCGCGAAATGCGACAGTTGATGGATTATAACTGAACGCATGCTAAGTTTTGAATTAATTTTGTCGTTTTAAATTGGTTTTTGATTTTCCCAATTGCGCACAAACGGTATTGGAAATATAAAAAAACTAATTGAAGCTAATTTTTAACGCAAAAATGAGCCATCATTTTATGGATAAAATATACCGCCTGACCCTCAGAAATATACCAAAATAGTTAATATTTACGTATATTTCCGAGGTTCAGGCGGTATATTTTATGGTTCAGTATTTTCGATACAACGCTGTTGGCTATCGTTTGAGTGCCAGAAAATACCGATGTTCGCCTCACGCGATATATATTTTCACGAGCTGCGCGCCAACTTTTAAAAATTGTAAATAAGACAAACAGTTTCTGATTTTTCTTTAATTGTTTTATATTACTGCATTTCAGTTGCCCTTTGAGTTTTATTTGCTAAACATTTGACCATATTCAAGTTTATAACTACAATTTGGTTTTACATATGCTGTGTGTCTGTGTGTACTTCAGTGAATACAAAAACCAAAAATCAACGGAAAAAGGAGCTTAATCGTCTTGGAATTGAGATTGGAGAATTGAGATTCTGTATTATATATTTGTGAGTGTGTATATGCATTTCTGTGTGTGTACGTTAGTTTGGTTGAATTTCTATATCTAGGCATATTCCATATATGTATAAACTTTACAGATATATATTGTTGGCAGACGCCGCCTTGCAGGCGCGACTCGCGATCTATGAACTAACAACTGTCCGCATATCAGAATCAGTGATCCAATGCGATATTTAGCTTAAACTATTTGCTAGAAAACTATATAATAATGACCATACAAATGAGAGGCATAGGTAAAAATTCTATTTACACATACAAAATCGTACAAAAACGTAACAATAGATCTGTATTTGTATTGTATATATTTATATAGATTTGCATTAGTTATTTTATTCGGTTGTTTTTTTTTTTGGTTTAGAAAAATGCACAATATTTGGGGCAATAATTCGGTTTAGTATTGTGTATAATTTGTTTACTTAGGCTAGGAGCAATTTACTAGATTCTTTTTCTTTCATGTGGTTTCTAAAGAAAGAAGGTACAGAGAGACGAGACTGACTGACTGACAGACTGACAGACAGATCGATGCGTTCTATTTGTGTGTGTTGTTTGGGGGAAAATTATGAAGTGTCTTCTATTGTTTTTTTTTTTATTAATCCTATTTTCATATTAAGAGAATTTATGTACAATTTTTTTCTGTGCGGCAGGCAGTGCCACGCCCACACTTGACTTACACACTAATTTAGTATTTATTACGCTATTCATTCATACAGTTAGAGCTCCGACTGAGTCTCTGCAACTGCTTAAAAATTTAACTAAATATTTAATTTATGTCCCGCCCGAGGCTGGTGCTGGGCCTGGGACTAAAGTATTTAAAGTTCTGTTTTCATATATTGAATAGAATATATTTTATTCATTTAAGTGTATGCTTTCCCACTAGCAAATATTTGCATTTGAATTTCGAATGCAAAAAATCATTTACTTTTAATATAATAATTCTTTTTTTTTTTATATTTTTATTACATATTTTGATATGTAGTTTTCGTGTAAATTATTTGTATAATGGAAATACATATATCCCGGGGGGGAGCTAAATGAGAAATGAGAGAGTTTTGTTGGTCCAGTTTTGGAGGTTTTCAAACAAAGTCTGGCGAACTATTTTTGGGTAGAAAATAACCGAAATTTACAGGAGAAATATGTGGGGTGTGTGTGTAGCTTATTTTATATTTTATTTTATTTAGTTTTTTTGGCAGTCTGTAGATTGTCACCAAAATCAAAAGAAATTCGTATCGATTACACAGGGGGGTTGAAGGGAAAGAGGAAATTATTCTGCCGCAAAATTCAGGCATATAAATGGTGTTTATATATCTATTAGCTATGGTATTTAAAGCTTATACAAATCTTATCTTATCTAGACTGTGATTAGGCTACATTTTTGTGTATCCTCTATCGTCTATACATAGAAATGTTTGCTGCAGCAAAAAAGAAAGGCAGAAACTTTATTCGTTCGTTGCCTGCATCTCTGGTACGAGTACAACCTCTGATTGCCTGGGGCCGGCTTCGGTATTCGAATTCGATTAGCTGGAGGTGCAGTTGTACGGATCGTCGGTGCGGAAATTGGGATGGTCCTCGTACGGCTTGACTCCGGCAGTCTTTTTGTCGTCCCGCAGCTTCTCCACCTGCTGCATGACCCGCAGAAAGTTGCCGCCCGCCAACTTTGTCAGCTCGTCCATCGTCCAGCCGCCGCCCAGCAGCTCCGCAAAGAGGGTCGGATACGAGGAGACATCCTCCAGACCCTTGGGCGTGCTGAACGCAGATAAAAGATCAATTAGTCCGCGTTCTGGTTCTGGAGGAGCCAGGGTGTCTAGTGTTTCACCGCCTCATCAAAAACACATATTTCAAAACATTCTGCACAATTTATTTCAATATTCGTTAAACCATAAAATATATGACATAAAGAATAAATTGAATAAACAAGCCAAAGGCAAAACAAAACGAGAATCGAATGCTGCACATGGACATGGACAGGCGGCAGGCAGGCACTCTTTATGGGTAATAAAGCAGCATTCAAGTCAAGTCACATTCACATTCACACACAAACACTAAGAGAGAGAAACAAATAAATAATGAACAACAAAAACACAGAAAACCACAAAGGAAAATAAATAATAAATATATAGCATACATTCTGCTGGGCAGGCCAGGCCAGGACAGACCGGACGCTCAAGTGCTCGGTAATCATATTTTATGAACAGGCATTTATACAAATAAATAATAATTTACTTTTATATGCAGGCGTTTAGGCCAAACACGATTTAAATGACACGGACAGCAGCAGCAACAGCAGCAGCATTCCTTTGTGTGAAGGAGCCACAAATACTCTCATAGAGGGTGATGCATTTTAAATTGATTTAATGGGTCTCTGAATACTACACCGATCAGATCATTGTTCATGATTTGGCTACAAATAGTACAAAATTATATCTCATGTGAACTTGGATGCTCCTCCACACTCTGCATCACCCTGTATTGGTTGTGCATAAAATATTTCAAGCATTCTTCACAAATAAACCATAACAAGAGCAGAACATAAAGCAATTTATGTGCCATTTCCTCTTGGATTGTTTCTGGGATGGCTTTTGGCTTTTTGCAATTTTGGAAAATTTCTCTAAATTCGAATGTGAATTTTGAGTGCAAATGGTTTTTGTACCGAGGCTGGCTGCTGTGCGTGTGTGTTGTGCCAAATTAATAGCACTCATTTGTGGTTGTTGCGGGCAGAAAACTTAAAATTCAATTCACAATATTTATACACAATAATCAGTAAAAGTAATGGCAATTTAATTAAATAAACGAAAATGCTAAAAACTGGAACAGTGGAATGTAAAAGTTGGGACGACATGTGTCAGAAGAGAGCGACACTCCCCACCACCCACTGAAGCTTCAAGTTGAATATTCATATTGGTAAATTCCCCCAGGATCTCACATCTTTTCTCTCACTCTGTCTGTCTGTGTATGTATATGTGTATGTATGTATGTATGTATGTGGTTTGACACGGACCGGAAACAAGACCATTTGACATTTAGTAATTTCATAGAATTTTAGATTATTTATTGTGTCGTGTGTTCATGTTTTGGTTCCATTTTTGGTTGGCAATTGCCTCATAAATATTCATTTACGCAATTTTCAGTTTTCTATTTATTTTTTTTCTTGTTTTTTCTACCCAATTTTTGCGGTCGCGTTGCCCCCAAAAAGCAAAACAAAATGAAGTTCACTTCACTGGAAATTGATTTACACGAAATATTTGTTGGCTTCCCCATTTGCCATTTGTTGTTTTGGGCTCGAATTTCCCTCCCCCTACCCACTCCTTCTCATCAGGCGAGTGTATGACCAACAAATTGTATGCTGCTTACTTACAACACTGTTGGCCCGGCCATCATATACTCAAAATATTTAATTCAAAAACACGAACAGAGAGAGAGAGAGAGAGAGAGAGAGAGAGAGAGAGGGAGGGTAGCGAAGGGTAGGGGTGGCATGTAGGTTTATCAAAATTTTGGTGCCAGAATATTTTGTTTGTTTTCTGCATTGTGTCCACGATGCAATGAAATGGAAATCTATGCAAATGCACTTTCGCAGCATCACGACGAGAATAATTACAATGATAATGAAGAGGAATGATGTGGCTGATGTGGCTGATGTTGCTGATGTGATGATGGGGGAAACACCTCAACCAGAAACTGGGTCATATGGTGCACCTACATACATATGTATGTACATATGTTTATGCGTACAAGTAAGTGACATTTTGTTGCAACCCAAGGGACTTAAAGTACATTTACTTTTTGGCTAAAATTGGGACCGGAATATTAAATTCCCCGTTGATCTGCTCTGATGTTTAGGTAATATCAATTAAAAATATATAAAAGGAAAGATCTTTCCTCAGCTCAAGGCAAATATCCGAAATGCCATAACTTACATTCGCTCTCGTAGCCCAATTCTACTGCCAATTAAGTTGTCATATCCATCAAGAGAGAGAGAGAGAGAGAGAGGATTTAAATGGACTCATCATCGTGTATTTTGCTGCTTACATTTTGGCATTACCGGGGATTCTTTTGTTCTCGGCTCAACTGCTTTAAGCGGTTTATGGCTGGTCCATAGGTTCAATCCGTTTACTGGTAATCTTGTATCGCCTGCCCACTCATTATCCGGCGGGAGCTCATTAAATTAACTTAACTTAAAACTCGCAAACAGATTGCACGGGCTGTTGGCCTCTCAGCGAAAAATGTGCGAAAAAGCGAACAAAAAGGAAAAGTGCCCATAATGAGCGGTAAAATAATAACGGTCTATCCACATCCCCATCCATCTCTCCACTCTCCACTCCCAGCCCCCACCACCCCTTGCCACAGCGCTGGCAATATGCCAATGTTAAGTCCGAAGACTTAAATATAATCAATTAATAACTTAAAAACACACACAAAAAAAAAAAAAACCAAAGAGAATATAAAAGCGAAAAGAAGGAACCGAACAGCATGGAAGCACCTGCAGGACCATATGAGTGAGAGAGAGGGGCGGTACGAAAATGTGAATTTAAGTGAAATAAATGACTTTTACTTACTAATTAATGCCGTCGTAGCCGGCGCCGAGGCCAACGTGATCGATGCCAGCGATGCGCTTAATGTGATTAATATGCGCTGTGTGCCAAAGCGAGCGAGTCCAGCAGAGCAGTGTCGAGTCCGTCGTGTGTGTCCCGGTCACCGGTCAGCAGAAGGATATCGGATGGATGGACGGGGTTGCCATTTGTTGTTAAGTTCATTAAGGGGTCCATTGTTGAGCGGCAGCAGCAGCATCAGAGTAGTTCAGAGCAGCATCATTGTTGTTGGTGTCATCATAAGTCAGCGTTATTAAAATTTTCGCGAATTTGAAATGTGTCCACGGAGCAGCCAAAAACAAAGGGCCAATGCCATGAAAAGATATAGAAAGAGAGGAAGAGAGAGGGTGAAACATTAGACAGGTTCATTATAATACTACTTATACAAAAAGCAAGAAAGAAAAGAGAGAGGAGAGGCATTTTCTGAGGTCGAATCATTAAATACCCTGTCGGCGTTGCTCGCCTGCAAGGGTATGCCACAAACTATAAAATTTGGAGATATAGGAGCTAGGAGGAGGAGGATTATTCGTACCGAAAAGTAACTCTGGTTTGCACCTAGAGGGATGCCGTGTACTTTGCTCTGTTTAGGTCTACGTTACCCTCTGTAAGAGGGTACACAAAAAGTACATATAGCAGGCAAAAGAATGGAGGTAGTAGCAAGACAACGGAACAGGAAGTGATTACGGGACCCATTTTGATGGCCCGTCAAAAGCAATGCCCAGAAAAATCAGAATAGAAAGCGCACAGAGAGACATAAGAAACAGAAGGAAATAATGAACTAGCTGAAACAATAGACTGACAATCAGGACCGACCCCCGCAGCAGACAATGCAGACAACCGCCACGAAGAGCGGGGAGGGGGGTGCTACTGTGCTCTGATTGATTTCGCACCGATAACTCATGGAGCAGAAAAGAATAGAGGGAGGTACAGGACAGGAGAGCAAAGTATTTCCGATAACTTACCGACTGCATCGTGCACGGTCGAGTTGTCGCTGCAGGAGAGAAATTTCGAATAGAAATTGACCATCACGAGGCCGCCGTTCTTGGCCAGCGACTGCAGGATGTCGTCCTGCACGTTGCGGCTCGTGTTGCACAGCTCGTAGGCGGAGGAGTGTGAGAATATCACTGGGGCCTCGCTCACCTCCAGGGCGTCGCGCATTGTGCCCTTGGAGACGTGCGACAGGTCGACCATCATGCCCAGTCGATTCATTTCGCGTATGATTGTCTGAAACGATCACAAAGAGAGAGAGAGAGAGATATAAAATATTTGGTTGGTTTAGTTGGTTAATTTATTACTTAGTTGCTAATTAGTGTTAAGACTCCACCTTGGAGGTGCCTCTGCTTATGCTAAGGCGGTGCAAATGCCTTCAAGGATATAAAACCCAAAGCCGCATGTCATAAAACATAAGTAATGGCCCGAGGGCATCGGCAGCCAACAGCCAGCAGCCAAAGGACATCTAAAAACAGTTTCATTATGCATGAGATTTTATTTAACCTTTGACATCCGCTGCCGCTCCGGGTTCAGCCCCTCCCACCCACCGAAAGTAAATTGATATTACTGCCAGTGTCCCTGTGTGTGTGTGTGTGTGTGTGTAATTTGTATTTATGCGCGGATTTATGTGGATTCGCTGAGAGTATCTATGTGTTCCACTCCACATTAATATGGCTGTGTGTGTGTGTTTGTGGGTGGGTGGGGTTTGCTACATAATTACTAATCTGATGCAATCTCCTCATGCTCCTAAGTCCAGAGCAGCCACACAAATTATGTGAGCTAAATTTATTACACTGTAAGACATTAAACTGGGGAAATTGTGATTAAATATTCGAAGAAAGTTTCCCTTTTTCGTGGATGGATTCGATTTTAGATGTAGGAGATAAGCTCTTAAATATCGAGTATGAAAGATATTGCCACCGGCTACAATTATATTCATAATAAAACTAACTATTTGAGGCAGCAATATTCACAAATTCGAATCTTGTTAACAGTCAATTAACCAACTGTCGCTGTTATTGCTACCGTTTTCAGCGCACTGTTATTGCTCCCCTTTACAGCGCACTGTTATTGCTTCCCTTTACAGCGCACTGTTACCGCTCTCTGATGGCGCACTCTCTCCCGATCCGCACGTCGCTTAAGCGGCCTCAGCTTGTAAGCTAATATTTATTACATACATTAACCAACCCCCCCCAGGAAGAATAGCCGTAAAAATAAACAGTGAATTCCACATATTATGAGGACTTTTCATCGTTTCATTTCAACTCTATCCACTCTGCTATCCACTCTTTCCTCTCTCTTGGTTTGGCTTAATTTCAAAGCAAATTTACAGTGTATTTTATGTCCGATGCCGAGTCGCAGATAATTTTTAATTGCTGAAATATATGTACCATACCCATATATGTATGGATACATTAATGTGGATATGTATGTAAGTATGTACGTAGTAAAATACATGTATATATAACAACCGTATTGTGATGTCAACGGAGGCGTTGGCGGCATTTTGGTTCCTCTCAAATTAGCCAACAATTTGTTGTTTCTGTCGCTGTGTGTGTGTTCAATGGGGCGGTGTATGTACTTAATGGGCGTGGCATTAAAGGCGAGCGTAAACATGCACGAAGAAGGCTCAACTAATTGCAACTCCATGTGTGTGTGTGTGGAGCATAGAAAATGTGTATTAAATGCTTATTGTCGCTTAATTACGTACACAAAATGGCAAATAGAAAAGGGATAAGGTATAATGGGGCTGTGGCGGGGGAGGCACGTACCGATCGAATTTTGGGTAGGCCGACACTGAGTACTGAGCAGGGCATTAAATCTTAATTAACGGTGCACATAAGACACATGCAGAGAGAGAGAGAGAGAGACACTCATGCAAATTAGTTTTATGGTGCACGGTGCTCATTGAACTGTTTAGCGATGTCACAGGGGGCGGATTTCAGTAAATTAAAATAACACAAATTTATTGGGTGATTAATTACTTGGCATTCGAGATAAATAGCTACAGATACAAATAATTTGTCCACAATAATTATATCTACATACATACATATGTATGTATATGTACAGTCAGAGAAAAGTGCAACCAATGACTGGAATCAATGAATGATAGCACCAATTTGTATTACATTTTGGACAGTGCAGCCAGCAGGTACAATTAATCCTTTTGCTGAATGCATAACATATAAATAATTATAATCAATTCAATTGAATATGTTTATATTCTGCATTTTGTCATTCTTCTGAAACGCATTTAATTGCCATTATAATTGCGGGTTTTTCATGTTTTTTTTTTTTTGTTGTACAAATGAAAACGCTGACGCTTGAAGTTCATGAAAGGTTCAGGGATAAAACCCCTCTCAATCTCTCTGCCATTTTTTAAACCAAAAAATTTGTATGATTTTTATGTGAAAACATTTTCCTTTTCATGTCAGTTTCTGGACATTGGAGGGTCCTGTAAAAGGGACAATCGCACAAAAGGAGCGCTGACCAACAATGTGCTGTATGGCTGTGGGCTGTGCGGAATTCAACAATGACAATCAGGGATCTTTCTTTTGGGTGACAGCGGAAAAATTGCAATGAAAACTTTTCACATTTGCTCATTAATGTCAGCCAAAGCCTCAGGCATAGAGTTATTCCATTCGCTCTTTTCATTCGGATATATATTGACGGGTCCCCGGTCCTGCCCCTCGAACAATGTCCAGAGTTTGACTGACTGACAGAGGAACAAATTGTGGTTAGTAGACGTTTTGGAGGAGCGCTCGCTCTGTGTGCCCCAAAATGGTTATACATTTTTTGCCTCTTATTCTACTAAATAATTCCACACAGAGATTAGCCCCCGGGCTATGTGGAATTTATATTTGTACGAATTCTTTTTTGCCGGCAATTAAATTGAAATTGTGTTCAGCTCAAAATTTGTTGCCAAAAATATTTAATATGCAATTTGTGAATTGTGAATTGGGGGGGAACTTTCCGTATGAAAATTTGCAGTGATTTGCAGCTGCAGTGGCTATTAGTTTAAGCCAACACAAACAGCAAAAACATCAGCAGCAAAGCCGCATTTAAATTGAATTTATTTTCAAATTAATTTGAAAATTTTTCGTTCAAATCTGCGCCACAGCTCAGACCCCCAAAAAAATGTGCACAAAAAAAAAGTGTGGGGAAAAGACAAACTCTGGTGGTTCAGCGTGAAACTCATCTCTGTAAATAAATAAACTCCCAACGAAATCCGCAGCAAGTTGGCAGCCCTTTACACATGCGAGGTGTGTCTGTGTCTGTGTGTGTGTGGCATTAGGGGGCACAATGCAAAAACTCATTAAAAAGTTTAAATTGAAATAAAATAAAATGCATATTCCTGTGAGTCCTGGCTGCGGCCTCTCCCTCAAGGCAGAATGCATTTCAAAATCGAGCAGAAGAGATTAAGGCACAAAACCCAGGATCCCACTTGGCGCCCTTACTTCGCCTTTTATAATCTGCATAATTCCCTGGGAATGGCACAAATACAAAAAAACCCCAATCTGTTCTGCTGCTGCTGCTGCTGACCCAGTTATCAATTATCAATTATCGGCATGGGCATGGGCAAACAGAAGAATATTCCCAATCCAATTTGTAATTCCATTAGTGCGGCACCAACTACTGACCCACTCGCCACTAATAACATTTGATTTATATGTGTTTGGCGAATGCGTAAATGTGCTCGAACCACGGAATGCATTCAGAGCAAACAGAGCCCATTCCTAGTCCGTAGTCCCTGGAAGCAGCAGCAGCAGCAGGAGGAGGAGTCGCAGTGGCAGTGGAAAGCCGCCATGCTATGCCATCTTCTTGGGCTCTCGAGAGGTTGTTTAAATATTTGAAAATCCATTAAGCATATTGACAATGCCGATGTGTCTGTCTGTCTGTCTGCCTGCCTGTCTATTGGTATTGGTATTGGTTTGTTTGTGTTTGGATGGCATGTCTGGGTCTGGTTCTGGTTCTGGGTCGTCCTGCATCCCAGGACTCGTATTTGAATATGGCCGCCTTTGGGGCTTCCTCCCATTTTTTTTTCCCCCCTTTAGAGCGCTTCTTTTCTTTCGCCCCTGCTGAATGGATCATTAGTGCAGCTAATGGCCCAGACAATAAATGGCGGGGCCACGCCTACAATTTGAATTTGAATATGAATTGAAATGGCAGCGAGTCGAAGTCGCTGTCGAAGTCGTTCCTTGGAGCGGGAGCAGGAGGAGTAGGTGGTGGCAGATATATGTATGTATTGTATATGGGTATGGCATCCGAGGACTAACCACGAACAGACGCCGCTGGCATTTCCGGCCAAGAAGGCGGCGCCAGGGCCCAGGACATAAAACGGATTTATTAGGTCATTGCTGGTTATGCCCAAGTGGGTGGCAAGACAGAACCCAATACACGGGCTGGTGGGGGGGGGGTCGGTTAGAAATGAAAAGAAGTGGAAGACATGCGAGGGAGCTTGCCTGCCTGCCTGCCTGCCTGGGGTAAGCAAAATTTTGGGGCGTGGAGTCTCATTATTTTGGCTAATAATTTTTGCAAAATGCCAAACAACTTTCTGCTGACACTGAAAATGTTATTTTGTAAATTGAAAAGGCAACACAAAAAAAGAAAAAAAACAACAACAAGAATTGATGCATGAAAATGGCCAGGAGTTTGGTTGGTTGGTTGGTTGGATTCATTTGGTGCCAATGGACCCGAAAATCAGGCAACACAGAAATTTATTGGCCAAGCCATAAAGTTTCATTAAATGGAACGAAATTTGAAAGATGAAAAACAATTTTAAAATACTCGTAACTTACATTTAAATGGAGTACGTTTCGAGGGTTCGAGGTTTCAAATGAAACAAAAGATGCCCGAAAGGGACCACAAACCACCCCCCACCCACCGCCGCATTCCGTATGCTACGATTGGGATGCCACCCTGCGGGGGCTTTGGAGCATGATTACCAATCAAATGCCAACTGCAACCAAGCAAACTATTTACCCAAAGCTCAATTGCAGAGCATACAGCGAGAAGTTCGCTTCGGGGTACTTAAACCCCTACTTATAAGCTCTGCCTCAGCCTCTGCCCACTGTCTCTGCCCCCCCTGTCTCTGCCCCCCTGTCTCTGCCCCCTGTCTCTGCCCCTTGTCTCTGCCTTCTCTTCTTACTTCATTTTCCACGAGCTTTTTTCTTTTGCCACGCCTGAAATAGCAGAAAAATGCTTGCCTCTTTCATCAGTTGCGTGGCTCG